CCCCCTCAACCCCCAAACAAAAAACCCCTTAAAGCTCAGCCCTGTTCAAATAGTCGAAGGTTAAAAAAAAAAAAGAAAAAAAAGTCCAACTTCACTTACGAGTGGATCTCTTTCTCCTCTTGCTGAAGGAAACAGACAGGTGCATGGAGAAGATTTCTTGAGTGAGCTTTTTGACCTTTGCCTTGTCCGAGTCTTTCTCTGTGTCGCTGATCTCGCTGGACGGTCGGCTGGCGGCCTCTTTCTGGACTTTGCCCAAAGATTCCATCACTTTCTGGGTGCTGGACACGAACACTTGCTGCGAGTCCTGCACATACGAAGGAAACAAAAAGGAAGGATATTAATATTTTCATGTGTGAAACTCATATTATGTGTCATAACGTGGTGGAATAAAGCTTTCGTCAATTTTTGGGCGTGCGGAGTTATTAGTATCATCTAAAAGTCTTTTCATTTGGCTTCCTTTAGGTAAAAAAAAAAATACCCATCTATGTTGAATAAAAATCGAAATATTTGCAGTTGAAGGCCATCATGGTCGACTAGTTTCAGAGGTAAAATTAGCGAGAATATGGCCGCCAAAGTTAGGTAACATTCACAACCTGAAAGTCCTTGGAAAATAAAGTTACATTTTTTGTGCTTTGTGCTTTTAATCACTGCTTTTCGTAAAATCCGGGCACAATTTTGAATGTGTTTTTAAATGGAAATAAAAGGTATTGAGTCAAAAAAATAAAATTAAAAAAAAAGAAATTGCCCTTCGGCCAAAGGGAAAAAACTGCCGATTTTTTTCACTTCATTATTCTGACGAGCGCCTGATTTCACAACGATGCCTCACATAACACAAATCACTGTACTAAAAGAAACTTGAAAAAAAAACCCATGTGACAGAGCAATAAAGCCATGTTTTTTTGGGTTGTTTTTTTTTAAATAGTAGAGGGTTTTACGGCGCTCGCAACTGCATAAGGTCATATGAGCGCCAATCATGGTTTTTCACAGAAGTGGAAGGCGCTCTGAGATTGTGCAATAATCATAGGATCTGAACATATTTTGTTGCAGGGGAAAATGTCGAAATAAAGTTTCCTCTTTGTGATGTATTAATGGTCCGCCGTTCCTTTAGTGAAGTTTTAGTAATAGTTTTACGACACAATAAGGTCATATAACTGCCGAAGATTAAAAATGTTACAAGAGAGTAACGAACCCAACAAAGCAGAGGGAGATATCAGAACTATAGTATAATGTTTGATAGGAAAAAAGGAGATACAACACCAGAACAGTCACCAGCCTTCCGCTCTATTTCTTCTCTTTTCATATTGAATCTTTATGAGAGACTACTATACATTTTTATTTATACCTGCATATTATGTTGTTACGGTCCAGTACAGCACAGCCAAGAAAAATTTCCTCTGGGATAATAAAGTATTGTCTTATCTTATCTTATCTTATCTTATATCTTCGGGCAGGGCAACGATTTCATGCCCTTTGTTATTTATATATTTGGTGAGGTAGAACGCCTCATCTGGTCACCAGCTTCTGTATCCGCGCCACTTTTTGGGGGGTCCTATACACAGCGGAAAATGAGATTGTGAGGCAGCGTGGTGGAATCAGGCTCCCGTCAAAATAATCAAAGTGAAGAAACTTGCATTTTTCCCCAGGTTCGTGAATTTTCATCCATTTTTTTTTTACACAACACCTTTCATCCCATTAAAGAGCTCATATTTGTGTGGGTATTTCATAAAAACGTTGATTAAAGGCATAAAAAATGTAAATTTCCAGTTACCACGGACTCTAAAGCTAAGGAAATAAGTAATCTTTGGCAGCCATTTTCTCACTAATTTTACCTCTGAAAACAGGTGACCCTAACCTCCTTCATTCGCAAATATCTCGACCTGTATTCAAGATAAATGGATATTTTTTTCATCAAAAATAAAGACAACTGAACAAGCTTTAAGATGATACCAATAACTCTACTTGCCCAAAAACTGACGACAGCCTGATTCCACCACGCTGCCTCACAATTATCTATCTTGCTAGTCTTCTTGCTCTTTCTTTTTACGCCTCCATCGTCCCTGTTCAGATCTTTCAGGAGGTGGGTTTTGAACCTACCAGAAAGGGCAAGCCCACGCCTAGAGTGAGAGGGATACATCATCCCAGCAGAAAAACTGAGATACGTGTACTCGATAAAAATTCGTCCTCCCTCCCCTTCTCTCCCCC